CTCCTGGTACGTCGTTCTTGCAAGTGAATCTAAAAACGTTGCGGACATTTTACTTAAACATTTAAAGAGGGATTATCCTTTAATAGTATATTAATTTGGTTTTTAAAACCGTTTTCCCAGCGTACGCAACGTAAACCCTCAAAGACTTTTTCCGTTTTGCCCACATTTCCACCTGTTTCTTCGCTCCTGTCATAATATTAGTACAGATTGACAGTAAGGACGTGCTACAAATTCAATATGCCCTCTTTAAGACACTTTAAAACTATTTTTATAGAAATCTAATTGCGTTCCAAGACGCTTGGAGAGCCACTTGAGCTGCACAGGCCAATATATTCTTTGTACCAAATGAAAAACAGAGTAGGCTACATCAAGCAGTTTACACTGACTTGGAGTATTTAGACTTCGTGTATAACTTTTATGTGGGGCTGTGTCGAGTCCAGTTGAAGAGTCGAGGTCAGGAGTTTCTATTCCACCTCACAACTCATCATCAACAAGTTTCTGCTACTGGCTTCTAAACCTTTTTAATCATGGTTTTCCCACTTCTTGATAAATTATGGCCCACTGCTGGGCTAAAACCCTTTATAGAATTTAAATTGTATTTAAATTGAGATGATGATGAGAGATCATTTTGCTTGTCGATAAGTATGATATATTTCTGAATCAAAGACAAATATTTATGATAAGGATAACTTATAAATAAATCTCATTATTGTATATTACTATTATCATTTATTATTACAATACAAGCATGACTCGCTTGACAAATAATACATCATGTAGCTCGGATGCACTGTCGATCTATTTGGTTTTTGGAAAAATTCACAGTAGTTACGGCAGTTTACAACTTCACGGTTCTTCCACTTGTGGAGGGTGGTTCTTGACGCGGTATTTCGTTATTGCCATATTGAATTACTTGTTTTGTCTGTGGCATGTATATGAGATAAGAAAATGCTGTGCCAGTGGAAACTTACGATTCGTTGATATATTTCTACCATTGAACGAGTACATCGAATTAATTACTTCGGGATTTGACTTTGACATTAGGACACCCAGCTTCAGTCCCTCCGTGACCACGGCTGCAGCAAAGCGATACGAAACGTCGGGACGTAGTTACAATAAACTTAAAAAAGGTTTACCCATATCTTTCGTGTTTTAAATCATTAAAAGTGTTTTATGTAAAAGACAGTTCTTCTTTTGCGTTAGTGAACTTCAATTGAAGCTTTCGTGAAATATTTTATTAATTATATCGTAACACAATACATATTAGTTACTGTAGATAAACAAAATTGCTTTTTAAAAGCACTCACAGAGCGCTAATGGCTTTGAATCGTTTCATATATTTTCAAACACCACAGAATTCACAGCTGCGGCCCGGAACATGTGAAATTTACATCCGAGCTTTTTGATCGGAACGATTTTACAACTTAATCTGGTTTCATATAACGTACACGTGAACAAGTTTAATTTAAAAAATGGACCCGAAACGTCGGGCTGCGGTTTAAATAAATTAAAAGTGATTTAACTAATATATTTCACCGTAAACAGTATGCTTTGTAGTTTACGTGATAAGTGGACCTTTAAATAATGCAATTTTAACTGTTTAAAACGCGGAATGTATTAATTGACTTGCGATTTCCCCCTTACCACGGTTACTGCAAAGCATCCGAAACGTTTTTATTATTTACTATTTATTATTAACTAAAATATTTCGCATTAAAGCTATCGCTATAATTACACATTTACAAAAAGAACCATTATTTGTTTCAGCGCAGAGTATGAACTAATATAATTAGCGTATACATAGAATCTTTATCCTTACTAATATTATAAATGCGAAAGTAACTCTGTCTGTCTTTCCGTCTGTATGTCTGTCTGTTACTCTATAACGCCAAAACTACTGAAAGGATTTGAATGAAATTTGGTATACAGATGGTCTAGACCCTGAGAAAGACATAGGCTAATTTTTATTGCGAAAAAGGGGTTAAGGGGGGGGGGCTTGGTTTTTTGGAAATGGGAGTGCGAGTAAGAGTTAGAGTAGGAGTGATGTGGCAAAGTAGCACTTACAACATAGATTGGCTGCGACAAATGCTCAATTACATAAATTACTTAACAGCCTAAATAATTAAAAATTCTACCCCAAGTCACTATTCCATGCGAAGAAGTCGCGGGCACAGCTAGTATTATATATGTTAAATCCATCTGTCAAGCAGTAAGGTATAGCTAATAATCGTGTCGTGGCTTCGATCCCCGACGGCACCACCATTTCTCAATTTATAATTTTTCTGAAACATCTGTCTCGTCTGGAAATCTAGATATTACGAGTCTATGGGTGGCAGAAATATCGAAATTCCGTCCGGGTCACGAACCACCGTCCACCGTCCAGCCGTGAAGTTTCATCGCGTTTCGGTTTAGTCTGGATTTCCGAATATCCAAAACCAAATTAGGTCGATAGCGCATCTGGTGTAGATGTTATATAACTAGGTCACCCCCCATCAAGTGTACCGTATGTGAAAAAGCACGGACATATTTAAGTAATCTTTGCATTTTAATGCACATATAGTCGTAACCGTTTTCAGAACTATGCATATAATTTCAAACGGGAGTAAAACAAAACGGTCGAATATTAGTGTACGTCTAGACATCGTTATTTAAAATTAAATTCTTGTATAGATTTTATCAAAGTAATATGGCGACTAATCTAGCGTAAGTTCTCTATATATGTCCATTGTACCTGTCTAGAACCATTCATTCAATCTATATTAATAGTTTGTTTGAAATTCAGAATGATATCTACCTAATTTAAGTTAATTTGACGTATATCTTAAACCGAATTAATATTAGGATTCAAAACAAAACCACGCATATCGATTAGCAATAGTTAAACATTGGCTCTACAAATTTACAAATGCGGAATAGATAATGTTTGATCAGACGAAATGTAACAGAGGCCTCGTGTAACTATCAATTAGTCCTGATGGATATTAATGGACGGAGCTAATCCGTCCGTTAGTTAATCGTAATCAGTTCGTTGTTTTTAACAATTGATTAAATATGCTCTAAAAGGCTAATAAACAGGTAAAATAAAATCTATACTAATATTATAAAGCAGAAGAATTTGTTAGTTTGAATGCGCTAATCTTGTGTTTGTTGGACGTTTTATCGGGGAACGGTTTTGGCTATAAAAACATCATATTTCGACTAATAGAAGCAAAGCAACAATGGAAAACGCGAGAACGGTTAAAGAAAGCAAAAAAATGTATTACTTTTTTATATGATACTAGCTGTGCCAGCGACTTCGTCCGCGAGAATCGTTATTGTGGGCATCCAAATTAGTTTAAACCCCGTCATTTTTATAAAGTTAAGTTCTTAGTTACGACGTCGATCGCGTCCCTTCCCGTCGTTCTTGCAAGTTAATCTTAAAAGATAGACATATAGCGTCGTAGACTTTTTTTAGATCATTTGAAGGGGAATCATTATTTCATACACATTTTAAAGTATCTTAACCGTTTTCGCAGCGTGCGCATCTGAAACCCACAGTGATGAAAAATGTCCCCCGTCTTGTACACATTTCCCGCTGTATCTTCGCTTCTATTAGTCACAGCGCGTTGTGTTATAGCCTTCCTCGATAAATGCTCTAACACAAAATAATTTTTCAATTCGACCCCGTAGTTCCTGAGATTAGCGCGTTTAAACAAACAAACAAACTCTTTAACTTTATATATTAGTATAGATATGTCTATCTATCTACGAACGGGGCGCAGGCGACCGCAATGTAGTGGGTGACAACTAGTAAACAATTATTTTAATTAAAATAAGTCAGCTTTTTAAACCGAGAAAAAAGTCCCGCCTCACAGTTTTAAAGGCACGTTCCCCCTTGACCACGACTTAACAAATTGAGACCAATTGTAAATAAGTTGTTAACATTCCGCGCTTTGAATCCTTAAGTGTTAACTAACGTAACTTTATTAAGAAGGTGATATTGAAGAACACTCTCTGGTCTAGCTTAGTACTTTCGACTTTTTCGTCTAAGTTGAAGAAATCTGTAGCTGTCATTCTCCACGATTTTCCACCTCGATAGAGATTTCACGAGCAATTTGGAGTACCGGCGCACTGTAGGTAAAAGTTACATGTCATTGTAATACCTATTATGTTAAACTGTATACCTATATATTATTAATTTCTTTACTTTATACAATGACTTTGATAAGTATATTGAACAACGAAAAAATAAAACTTTTTAACCTGTTTAAAATTACACACATTGTTGTATCTGAAAACCTTTTGCACATGACGATTTTGCACTGGAGTTCACGCGAGTAGATTAAATTGAAATAAAACACTTTAAACGGTTTAAAACGTGAAATATATTGTTTATTTATAATGTATTTTATCGAAAGCCCGAAGTTTTTGGTATTTTTGCACTTTACATTTAATTCGAAACATCCGAAACGTCGGGTCGAATTTATATATTAATTGTAATCTTTACTAATATATACCTATCATGCTTTAAACCGTTAAACGTGTTTAAATTAAATATTTTGAATCACAATTTATAACTTTAATTCCTCAGTATTTGGGATACATAGATGGTTTACTACAATTATCATTAAATACATAGCCTGGATAAAAATGACGTGAAGGTCCACATGGTAGCTCAATTGATGGAGTGGCAATGAGGTCCTGGGTCGGGACCCACTTGTGTCATCAAAATGTTCACTATAAAAATTTTAATTAAAACACTTTTAACGATTCAAATTAAATTTATTGTACGCGGCGTTTCAGATTCTTTCAACTTTGACTGCTTCAAATCATCCATAATTATAAACAAGTTAACTGAGATATACACAAATTATGTTTTAACCCGTTACAAGTGTTTTAATTGAAACTTAAGAATCTCTTCCACCAAGACCCTCTTCTAAGTTCCCCTTCTCTTGTTTCAGATAAAAACAATGATAGCAAAGTGCGTAAGTGTTTGTGCCAAAGTGTAGTGTTGTAGCAACATGGGATGCACGCCAAGTATGCTGTTGGACCACAAGAGCCGTCGGCGAGACAGCACCGGGTCCCAGGAGGCGGCCTTAGCCAAGGTAGCCCCGACCCCGGTTTGCCAGAACAAGGCGGTGCAAGCGGCCAGGGCTCCCCGGGCCTCCCTTGAGTCTGACGGCTTCAGCGTCCAACTCTCCAGCAAGAAGGATAGCTATGTTTCCCAAATGGGGAACAACTTCGCCACGCAGTTGCACATCAAGAGGATATCGGGTGAGCGAATTGAAAGTTAATATTTTTTTTATTGAGATACACAACAAATCAGAACATAGATCATTAAAATAAAACACTTTTTAAAACGCGATATATTTTAGTTAAACTTGTTTGAAAATTATAAGGAGAAACTCCCCGTGACCACGACTGCTGCAAAGCATCCGAAACATCGGGCCGTAGTTAAAAATACTCGCTACTCGCGTAATCTACATACAGTATAGAACGTACATCACTTATTAATATAAGATGAGTACTTATGAAAGGACAACACGAGATGATAAATCTAGAAAAATCAATTACAATTCTACAAACAAATAAGAAAGTTATTTAAGTAACAATAAGAGAATCAACACTTAAATACTTTAAGCTTTACACAACAATATAAAAATGTATGTTTTCTTTTTGGAATATTGTCTAATGTTGCTATCACAATCTTATAAGTACATGTACTCAGCTCCAATAAAAGATGTTTAGCACTAGTTCATATCTATAAAATCTAACAATTAGTAATAAGAAAATATTCTTAGGTGTTGGCAACGTGGGGAGACAAAATAATCAAGAATTTTATGGTATGGAATCGGACATTCGATATTCAATATTAGTTATTTTATAATTTGAATTGCCGTCTCTGCAGTTGCAATCCCGAGAAACCATAGGTTGGTTCGGTCGGGCACGGCACAGAAGTCTGATCAAGAATTTTTCCTCTAAATAAAAATTACAAATTCTGTCTCTTATCTTCCTATTCTGCAATAAATAAAATAATATATATCTATTCGGATATAAACATTTTGTAACGAGCTTCCAGTTCTATGTATGTAACATAGAAAATATATTTAAATATTTCTATCTCCCTCTCTCAGTGGGATTTTAGTTCGTTGATAGCAATGTATGCTAGTTATTTGACTCACATATTTCTTGGATTATTCAAGCCACTATGTATGTTTCGCTTTGTGATCAAAGCAACATAGCTAAGAAAATATCTCATCGGTAGATACTACATTTGCAAGGTATATACCACTAACTGATCCGGCAAACGTTGTTTTGTTTATCTTGATATAACTTTAACATATTATTAGTAACTAGCGGCCCGTCCTGGTTTCGCATGGGTAGACATGAATAGGTACAGATATTTAAATTATAAGAATTCTTAGATCTATTTCCTTCAAGTCTCTGCGAGCGCTCGGCGCTTGACTATCGTTCGTTTAGCTGCGACGATCTTGCATTTCGTTCTGCAAGACGAACTGAACGTTCGAGGCTAGATTCTCTGGCTCGCGATTGGGACGCGTACACTCTAATACTTTTCAGACGATCATTTTTAGAAGAAGAGTCTCCAATACGACGAACTTGTGCTAATCTCGCTTGGTAACTATTCTGAGGTATTTACTTTAAATCAGAGAAATTAAGAATAAACTAATAATAATACAAAAGAAAATATTCAAGTTCAAAAAGATAATTCCGAAAATAACTTTGACATATATTATGCAAAGTGTGATTCCTAATACTAAAACTAAGTAGCTTTAAAAATAACTTTTTAAGTGAAGCAGAAAACTATAAAAAAAAAACGAAATATTCAATGTCGGTCGCGTCAACTGCGTAAGGAGCCAACTGCCCCTTTCGTCGAGTTAGTTACTCGATGCGCGGCGTGGCGCCCGCCGGCATGTATTTTTATTTTAACTTCATGATATCTTTTGAATGGAATGTCCGATTTCAATAATTAAAAAAGGGGTGCTAATTAAACTCGCTTCTTTTTAATATCACTATTCGCCTCCAAAAATGTATGTTGCCTATGTACTAAGTCAGCCACATTTAACGAGCATCTAAATAATGCTATCTTAGCCACTAGTTATCTTCTATGTAAACCACTCTAAATACAATTCAGCATGATGGTTATTTTTTAGCATTTAAATTTATAACATGCATTCATACCGCGAAATTCTAAAATACTATTAAATAATATCAAAAAATATATTTATTTAGCTTCTAATTTTTTAACTCAGTACATTTAAAATGTAACTCATCCCATATTAATTGAACGACAAAATTTTGGCAAAATTGACATTAAATGTTAATATATTGGCCACTAATATTACCAGAAGCTATTGAGGAGAGACAAAATAAAATTATTTATTTTTGAAAAATCAATTTGTTTACTGAATTACCATCATTTGACTTATAGTAAATAATAGGAACATAAAAATAATGTAGTCGGTACCTAATCAAAAAAGGAAATTAAACCATTATTGGATTATTAACGCAGCTCGCGCTTTTGTTGGCCTTCCACGCTTTCTTTTTAATCCTAGTGGTTGTGACTTTGCCTCTAATGGAGGCGTCACGTATTTCAGTCTGATTGCAAGGCCTATCAAATGCTTGCAGCTGTACTTGCGATAAAAGTCTGGACAATCACAGCAACCAGTAATCCACTCGGTCTGATTGTTCGGTAGTATTACGTTTCAAAATGAAAAAAACACTTTTTTGTATTCGTCAAAACACCTGAAAGTCTTCTCAGCTTGACCAATTTTGAATGAGTTGTTGCCTGGAATTAAATATGTGGTGCTGGCTGGTGTTGAATGTACAACTCTAATTTTGGTATCAGTTTTCGCCCATTGATATCCTGTTGTCCAATCTGATAACTGCAATTGAGGTTGTGTCGCAAATTTTTCTTCTGTTGCTTGTACTGACCAGTTATTAACCATTTCCTCTGCCACCACAAGGAAACGGGCCAACGGTATACGCTCGCGGAGAGTGTTGTGGTCTTTTATAACTCTATTAAAACACTCGAGTGCGTTGTTCGTCGCTGGTGATATTGGTGCTGCACCCAAATACCAATTTGGGTTTTTTATTAGCCATTCTTTTTTAAAATATTTTAGGAATGCTTTTTGGTCTTTCCATTTCTTCAAGAACGACTTTGAAGCAGCAAAGCATCATGCAGTGGCTATTTTCACGATAAAAGAATATGATATATTATTTTACATGGTAAGTTATAATAAATGATGTTTTTTGTAGAAGCTTGAATTATATTTTTTTGAGGACATTGCGTTGAAGTTGTAAAACGTAAAATGGTGACGAGATGTAAAATCCGTGGCCGAGTTAGTAAATTAGATGGCAATATATAAATAAGAAGGACAAGTCACAATTATTGATGATCTTTACGCTTTCTATACAATATTTAGTTGGCGTTGTAAAAAAGACGAATCACTTTATTAGAGGCTATGTTATTTTCCCGTTGCTTAGTTATAAAATTAGAAGTTTAATCACGTGTCCAATAAACAATTTTGTGGGTAGACTTATAATTTCCCTTAAAAAAGTAATCATCAGGTATTGAGACAGTCTTGAATATTAAATTATTTATTTGGATAAAAATTTATAAATGTATGGATAACACGGTCTGATTTTGATCGGCATTTCTATCAATTTGTTAAATGTAAAAAAGTAGTTATAGCGACTTAACTACAATAGTTAAACATATGCTCTCGCTCATGGTCTATGTTTTTTGTAGATATTGATATAGTCTATAATATTGTCTAACATTTTTTTTTCCTATCATTAATACTTTTCGCAGCGTATGCGAAGAAAGACATTTTACGGTAATTTTTTTTACTCCTTCCGTTGGTATTAGTAAGAATTTCTAAAGGTGCCTATAGTAATCAAGTACTAACTATGTTACTTCTAAGTACTCTACTAAGTACTACCTATGTTACTCAGTGTTAATGTAGCTTTCTAATGAAAAAAGAATTATTGAAATCGGTCCAGTACTTTTTGAGTTTATCCATTAAATGCAACAATACAAATCTTTCCTCTTTATAATATTAGTATAGATAATGCCTTGATTACCCCAAAATTTGATTACCATAAAAACAGTTTATCTTAAAAGATAGACATATATCTACAGGGGCGGATATTTTTTCGATCACTGAAAAGGAATCATTCTTTTATACACTTCTTATTTGCCCTTGAACCCGTTTCTGCAGCGTATGCAACATAATCCCTCAAAGATGACACGAAATCCTTCACATTCTCTTTTTTTTCGCTTCTATTAGTCGCCGCGTGATATATTCTTTCAATAAATCTTCTATTCGACACAAAAAGATTTGTTCACTTCGATCTAGTAGTTCCTGAGATTTAAACAAACTCTTCGGCTTCATTATATTATTATAGTTGTACGTTATTATTTAATTTAATTAACAGTACTTTGATAGCAACTTATTAGCCTGACACTTTATGAAACCGTTTCTTCTTGGAAGATAACTTCTTTTCCGAGTCTTTGAACTTTTTATTTGCTGACGTTCGATTTGTGATCGTTTGGTTTGCTCTCCTTTCTATACGTTTGTTTAAGCCAACAACATCTTCAATTATTTTGGCAACGACACTTTTATAATGTACTTGCAGACAGGTTTCGTTATTGGCAAACGGACAGTACTGTAATGTCCTGTATAGTGATATTTTATTTAGGATCTTCTTCATCTCGCTCACTGATATTGGATGGGGCAGCTTGTACCCGTTCCAGTTCGTTATATACAATTCCCTGGAGATAGACTTGTTCTTCAAGGACGGCGCAGTTGTATAGTTTAGCATTACTGTGCATATTATGATCATCTGAAAGTCAAATAAAATGACTAGAAGGAACTCAAACCTATGACCAACAAAACAAAATTAACCTTTGCTCTAGCAAAAATTATAAGTAGGATAATTTTAGTTATGAACAAATTTCTCATGACATTATCGAAATGTATTTATGATAAAGGAAGACAAGCCAGCGTGGGGCTCATTTGATGGAAGGTAAAATATCCCATCTATACTTCTAAACAAAATTCAAAAAACTAAAGACAATGATATGGCTATATCAGGAAATCCACAGAACCAAGCCTCTTGGCTTTTTTATCTGTGGACGATGGTGCATGACCCGGACGGAATTTCGATATTCCTAACGTCGATTTAATGTCCAGATTTCCAGAGGAAGTCCAGTATGTTTCAGATAAGCTCTACATTGACAAGAAACATGTTAAATACTGTCTATAAAATACTGTCTATAGTTTACGCGAGTAGTACACATTTAAATAAAACACTTTAACGGTTTAAGTTTTCTTTCAGTCTCCCCGTGACCACGGCTGCTGCAAAGCATCCGAAACGTCGGGCCGAAGTTAAAAATCATTTTCAAATAAGTTTAACTAATATATCGCGTTTTAAACCGTTAAAGTGTTTTTTTTAAATACTGTCTATAGTTTACGCGAGTAGTACACATTTATATAAAGCACTTTAACTGTTTAAAACGCGATATATTAGTTAATCTTATTTGGAAACGATCTCCCCGTGACCACGGCTGCTGCAAAGCATCCGAAACGTCGGGCCGAAGTTAAAAATCATTTCCAAATAAGTTTAACTAATACATCGCGTTTTAAACCGTGAAAGTGTTTTATTTAAATAAAGAAACATGTTTAAACCGGTGGAGATCAAACCCATGACCTGTTCGTTATCTTCATTGCTTATAGATTGCTAGCATTAGATCAACGAAACCGCCCAATAACTGGATTATGGAAGACCCTGTCATGAATACTATCGGGCCGGTAGAGCACAAAAATTTTGACGGGTACTTTTTTTTAACTATTTGAATTAAATACTGTCTGTAGTTAAAAGTGTTTAACTATAGACAGTATTTAAAAGTGTTTTTTTACGTACTCACGTAAACTACAGACAATAGCTACTAGAGTTCCTTGCAGCACACTCACTCACCAGCTTTTCCATATTCATAGCGCGAACCTTTAAACCAATTCGGATGTAAATTGGACATCAAATGGTCCTTATTCAATTAAACACTAATTCACTCCGGTCAGTTAATTTCACGCGCAATCCACACATTATAACGGAATTTCATAGAATCGCTTTTACTTCACGTCTTTGATATTCAAATGAAGGTCTTAGCTTCCGCTGATGCTGTGCTGCAGTAGGTGTTCTTCAGACTGACTACTAAGACCTGAAGACCTTAAGAAGTAAGGCATAAAACACAAGTGCGGCATTTGAAAACTTTAATATTTTTCCCATGTTATAATTACACTATATAATTAAAAAATCGCAAATAAATTGAAAAATTTTTCGACTCAGGCGTTCCGTGCTGTTGCTCACGGTATTGCACTCGGTAGCTTTGGCGATGCCGGTTCAAGTCCTGCCCGAGTCAAGTTTTTTTTTCAATTTATTTTCGATTTTAAAAATTCTAGAAGTGCAGTGTATTGAAATTAAACTGTTTTAAATAACAGTTGACTTTTTTCTAACTGTGACTCGACGTTTCGGACGCTTTGCTGTACTTGTGTAGTCTGATATAAAACGAAAAAAAATATACATAAATATTTAGTCTTATATAGTAGCGTGTAATCGCGTTTCGGCTTCAACCTGAGTCAAAATTTTCAAACATCCAAAGCCAAAACAGGTCGACAACGCATTTTATGAGATATAGCTGAATTATTTCACCTTGCGTCAAGTGCTTGTCTGTCTGTCTCGCTTTATCATAATAATCTATGTACTGAACATTTTCCAAACTTTATTCGCTTCTACTTCACTTCTTTTAAGCAACTTCGTTTTTTCTTTACATGTTACTAGCCGCGTCAGCGACTTCGTCCGCCTATAATAGTTATTTTACTCATCGTTATTTGTCCTCCGCCCTGATCCCGCGCGTCCCGTCGTTCTTGCATCTTAAATGATAGACATATAACCGTCGCAGGCATTTTTGGATCATTGAAGGAGGATGCATTATTTCATACATATTTTTAGTTATCTTAAAGCGTTTTCGCAGAGCACGCAACTGAAAACCTTAAAGATGAATAAATTTCCCCATGTTTTTTCACATTTTCCGCTGTATCTTAGCTCCTATCGGTCGCAGCGCGATGTTTTAGAGCCTTCCTCGATAAATGCTCTAACCAACACAAAACACACAATTTTTCAATTCTAACCCGAAGTTCCTGAGATTAGCGCGTTTAAACAAACAAACAAACACTTCCGCTTTATGTATTCGTATAGATATAGATATGTGTGTTCCATATGTTACACGTTACTTAACATTACGACCCATCCATCCATACGCATTTTATTTATGAAGTACTGTTTTCAATTTCTATGCCATAAAAGTAGCCTCCTTTAGCCTTCTATACGCCTAGTACCTTTTACGCGCGTCACTTTTATGGTTACGTAATAACGTACTAACCATAAATCGCCAGGGTCTTATGTTAGTTACAACATAGGTGCGCTAGCATTAAATAAAACACTTTTAACGGGATAAAACGCGAAATTCGTTATCTATTCGAAACTACGATCGCTATACAGAAGCAAATTATTTTGATTTCGGATCGAGTTTTATGTTATAAGTAAGTTTAACAAAAACATTACAGTTTTAAACCGTTAAAAGTATTTTATTTAAATGTACTACTTGCGTAAAGACAGTATTTCCAATTGTTTAAAAGGTTTTATTTAAATTACATAACTTTCGCACCAGGCACTAATAGCAATTTCAAGTTTAAAGTAATTTAGTTATCATCTTCTAATTTTAATATAATCAACCGATTTCCGTTCGGGGTTCTGGACCGGAAGTTCGATTTCCGGTAGTATCAATAAGAAATCATATCTATGGGTTGTGAAAGAAATAATTTATAATTTTAATACACCATTAGATAGGCGTGCTAGAAGGCCGTAGTGAAAAGGTTGACGACACCTGATTTATCCGGCCACAAACAATTTTCTCCATTAGCACAATACAAACGAAAATGAAAAACAAGTGGATAATAAAGTGGTAATAACGATTTTTCTCTAACGAGTTTTCCGGGAATAAGCGAGGGTTTATCTCTCATCTGGGGTCCTTGCGCCAAATCATAAGACAATATGCAAGGACGAATATTAATACGGCGTGTCCTTGAAGCAGAATTTGTGTGCTGAAATCATGTTTTATTTTGTTTATTAGTTAAATATCTATTTAAAGAGCTGAACAGTTTGTTTGAATGCGTTAACCTCAGAAACTACTTTTTCAAAATGAACAAATATTTTTGTGTTGAGTAGAACATTTATCGAGGAAGGCTTTAGGCTCGAAACATCACTCTGCGACCAATAAGAGTGTGGAAACAGTAGGAAATGTGGAAAAACAGAGAAACTTATTCATTTTTGAAGGTTTCCGTTGCGTGCCTAAATTTGTATTAAAGAATTATTTCTCGCTAATTGATATAAGTGGCCGCGATACGATATGTCCATCTTTTAAGATTAACTTGCTAGAACGATGGGACGCAAACGACATCATAGGTAATACCTATATTTGTTTTGACAACATTAATATTTTTAGCGCGATATATATTAGTTAAACTTATTAATATGTCTCCACCCACGGCTGCTTCAAAGCACCCGAAGCGTCAGAAGCGAATTCAACTAATATATATCGGGTTTTAAACCGTTAAAGTGTTTTATTTAAATGTGTACCATACGCGTAAACTACAGACTGTATCGATTTTTTATTTTTTATAATGCCATCATGTAAATATTAAGTTTTCAAAGAGCATCAAGATATCGTATTATTGATGTACTTCCTCGTGGGGTTTAAGTGAGGTCATTGCTATATCTCGTCCCCCCCTTGCCATCAAAACTGTCGACATAGCGACGCGGCGCGTCACTTCGCTTTTATCAGGTTACCCATTATCGTTATCAGTCTAATGACGTACCGGCTCACTGGATAATTTATAGCTTCGCCTCCGTTATTTAATATTAACCAGAGAAGAACTTGTGCATTGCTCTGCAACGTGGGCTTGTGGGTCGCAGGTTCAATTACCACTGGGTCTAACGTGATTTTTTTTATAATTCAATACAACAGACAAGCGTAATCACTTGATGGTAGGTAAAATACTCCAGCCTCTATCAACAAAACAAGATGTGTTATCGACCTATTTTGGCTTAGGAAATTCGGAAATACACCAATTGCAAACGTAACGTGATTAAACTTTACGGCCTTTTCTTCTGTTGACACAGATAAAAATCTTGCAAAGTATACAAAACGTCGGACCGAAGTTAAAAATCATTTTCAAATAAGTTTATGGTTTATGGTTTAAGACGTTTATTTCTCTTAAGATTTACAAAATCACTTACAGAGAAATTATGAGCTATTCTTAATTCTAATTTATTACTACAAGTCCAATCATATCAAAAATAAAAATTACAAAAGCGGGTAGGATATCAAAACTTTACGCAAGTTCTATTAATAGGACGGCTCATTCGCTTCTTATCTCTAATGTATCTTGTAAAGGTTGTGCACATCGCATAGCGAAGCGCTACATTAATATAGTTTTACACATAAACAAAATATTGAATATATCTAATTTAACAACAAAAATTTTTACTTATGTTTATTATTTTAATATGATTACTACTATAGTTTAGAAAAATCCTTTATAATGTGTGCTTTTAATTTGTTTTTAAATATGCTAAATGAATTTGCAACTTTAATATTCATTGGAAGATGGTTATAAATTTGAGCTCCCTCATACATTATATTTTTTAAGCCATAATTAGTTCGTGGTTTTTTTAGATAGATATTGCCGCTTTGTCTAGTTATACATTTTTTGATGCTATAATTT